ATCAAATTGGTCAGTGTTGCCACTGTGCCCAAGTCTTTCCCAAAGATTAATTTCAGTAGCTTGTTAAAAGGGTGAAGAGTCTATTGGGCCAGTAGCTGATTTTCCTGCTCTGTGTAAACAAAATTTTGACATTAAATTCAATTAATAAACATATAAGTCCTAGGTTACAGAATTTTGTCACAAATTGCCTCAAAAAATGATTTTGATAAGAATGAAGGAAACAATTTCCATATATAAGTATTCCCTTTAAAATATCATTATTCATAACATGGGAATGACTACAGAGTGAAAAGGACACGCATTACCAATGGATTAGAAATCTCATTTATCAAGTAGCTGCTTCTGTTGTGAAATGGAAGCTCTAGATCTATAACCATAGTTTACAACGAATAGAATATTCAATCACTATGTAGCAAAAAGAGATCATGATAATTAAATTTCCAAGAATGTGGGCTAATAACTAATCCTAAAACATGTTCATGAAGACAAAAGGATGAAAGTAAAGCAACAATATTAGCACCATAGCTTTAATTTGTTATCTGCTAATATTCAGCAATCTATAGTAACTCAGCACACAAGATGAGAAAAATTTTCAATTACCCTTTTGACACAAATAGTCACACAACCCACACCTTTCACACAATGCCTAAGGCAGCAAACTCATCACACGACCATTAACATTAACACCCCCACACAATCAAATACCAAACTCAATATTGCCACCAACTCAAAAGTAAATAATATAAGCTCAAAAGTAAATAATATAAGCTTAAAAGTTAACTACATAAGCTCAAAATCCAAAAGTGGTTATTACGAGTTCTCAACATAAATTCGGTAAATTACACGGCAAAAATCGACAAATTAGATCAACCTCTGATTCAAGTAAGTAGTTCAGCGTTAGATGAAAATTATTATGTTTAGATTATAATGGCGCACTAATGATTCACTAAAAATTAAAAATACAATTCACAACACTGTAATTTCATCAAATGAAATCAAACAAAAAATTGAAATAAAATTATTCACCAATTAAACCATATATACAGAAACAATTAATTTCAATACCATAATGCAGACATATAATTGTAAATACTCTAGTACATTAATCAAAATTAAAAAAAAATGTGAAACCCTAATTTTTGCAATCAAAATTTCACAATCTTAAATTAAAATTTGAATTAAATCATAGAAAACAACGAAAATCAAAATCAAATTAACTTACACGACCTTAAATTTACGAGAACAGCAAAAGATGATGAAAATTATGTGATGTTTTGATTTTTTTCCTATCTAAAACCGCATAACAAGATTTTCGCAATAAAAATCGTAAAAACATGTATCAAAATCAAGCAAACTAAAATTAAACCGAAATTTACATACCTTAACAGATTATCGCGAAAAATTGATGAGCAAAAGCAAAGAAATGGAAGAGAGAAGAAAAAAAACTCGCTTCTTTAGAGAACTGGGAGGAAGGGAGAGAAAATCTAATGAAGAGAGAGAAAAAATTGAAGCGTGTGCGCGAATTAGAACAGAGGTCATTCAACGCTCAAAATTCATAAATACCATTAATGAGGCGGGTGAAACTTCAGCCATTAGATATATATATATATATATGCATTTATACTATTAGATTAGACTAGTATTATTTGGGTCGCACTAAACCTCGCTCCCCTTTTGTCTAGATAACACTCCCTTTTTATGTTGAATGGACTAATTTACGTTTTTTTTACAAAATATATCAATCTCTTTCATCTTTCACTTTTGACTCCATTCTTCCATCAGTTTTTACATCTATCAATTTAATTTATATTTTAAAAAACCCTAGAATCCATTCACACACCACTAGATCTAGCATAAAAAACATCAAGACAAAGTATTATGTCCGGTCAGAAACAGAAGGAAAAGGACACCGGCGGCACCAACGACGGCGTGCAGGCTTTTTAATTTTCGTGTTTTCTGGGGAAACGCTTGGTTTTTTCGGAAAACCCAGGTTATTCTGCCAAATTCAGGCATTTTTACCTAGGTTTGCCGAAAAAACCAGGCGATTGGGAGAAACTCTCCTCAACCGCCTGGCCGGACTCAGGCTGTCGTCGCCACCACCGACCCAGCAGCTGGCCCACATGGCCCTCACTTCTTCCTCCTTTTTATTATTACTATTTTGTATAATTTTATATGTAATTGTTGTGGGTTTGATTTTATTGTTTGAAATTGTTTTAATTAGTATCAAAACTATATTTTGATGGTAAAAGATTATAATTTCAGATTATTTACATGTTTTAATTTTTCAGATTTTGTAATTATAGAACCTAGGGTTTTAATTTATTGAAATTGAAATTTTGGGGTTCTTATGATCAATTAATTTGGGGCTTTTGTCCCTATTGTATTTCTAACCAACAATTAAGCATAAAAATATGTTTTAAAGGAAGTTTTAACCAAATTTATATTGCTGGAAATTTGTCTGGGTATTAACTTTTTACTATTGGTTGTTTTCTAGGAGGTGATCATTCCCTAGAAGACTTTTAAGTGATTAAAGTGGCACAAATAATTGTTTATACGAGATACGTACACGCCTATAGTTTACTTCGTTGTAAGTAGTATCATGTTTAGGTACCAAAAGGAATGAACTTAGTTTCATATTTAGCAAGCACTTGGATAAAAATTGTTTGGTTATACGTTGAATTAATTCATGTGCTTATATTTATGAGAATGTTTTTGTGGAACTGATTATGTTTGTATAACATTATGGATGCAAGCATGTTGAATTATATTGGATTAATTGTTTTTATGGAATGTTGATACAAGCATATTTTATTGGTTTGGTTTGATAACAACATTTGGGTTATTGAAAGATTGGAATTGAATGGTATAAGTGGAATGAATTTATTAATTATTCTATGAGGTTATTGTTACTATTTTTTTTATTAATCAATCATGACTTGTGAGTATGTTGAGTAAAGATGGATTAAACCGAAATGGCTAGGTGGGTTGACTATGTACAACAATTTTGGATATTTTGGAATTTTGATGGAATTAAAGGTCAATTTGTGATGTGATAATCATTGTCATAAATAAGATTAAAAGTGAATTCTATGTATGATTATTGTGTATGGTTGCTTGAATGAGTCGGCTATTATAATTAATTAAATTTGTAATCACGTAAAGTGAAATATGAATGAGCAATAAAACTCTGGAAAGCGTGCATTTCTAGAGTTTTGATAATTATGGGTTAGGGTACACGGTGATAGCCCATGGCTGTTCGAGGTTTGTTTGATCAACATGTCCTCTTTTCTTTTGGTATTTATATTTTTATTTTATAATGTAAGTTAAATGGGATCCTAGACTAACTTTGTGAGAATGGAGTCGCGCCCATTCTTGCATCGCGCTAAACTTTTATTTAAAATGGTCATTTAGGACCAAAATGATTTGGTGGGTTGGACAACCTCGTCTATTTCTTACTCCAAATTAAATTAACTAAATTAAATACTTCCTCCGTTCTTTTATTATTGCACCACTTTCCTTTTTTGGAAGTCTCACAAATATTGCACCATTTCCTTTTTAGGAAAAAACTTATTTGTGTTCACACTACAAATACCCAACATACCCTTGTTTTTTCACAATTACTTTTTAATTTATCAATATGTCACATGGAAAATTTTATATTTTTACCTTTCTCTATCTTACTTTTTCCCACAACCAAAATATTTGCACCAAACTCTTATGGTGCAATTATAAAAAAACGGAGGAAGTATAAAGAGGCAAGTGTTTGGAATTGGTTAGTAAGTATGTTGAGTCAATTGAATTGTTTAAGTGTGGAGTCTTGATTAATGAATTCGTATTGTATGTTTATTTATTTTAATTAATTGAGCATGCTAGGTTTGATGCGTTGTAGCTTGTATGTACTCAGCTTTGCTGATTGCGTGCTTTTGTGCATTTTATTTTGGTCATGGTTTTTGACTTTCAATGACCCTGTGATGATCCAATTATTACACTTGTATTATTAGGGAGCAGTATTGCACAGGTTAGCGTGATGATGTGAAGTTTAGGGATTTGACATACACATGGTCAAGGGATTGGTGTGATTTATAGCATTTGTTCTTTGTGTTGAACTTATTTATGTTTACTATGGAGGTGATAAAAAATCGGGTTGGGTCGGGCCTTAACACAATTTCTCGTGCCCAAACCCGTAAAAAGTAGCGGGCTTGTCGGGCCAAAACGGGCTTTTTCGGGCCGGGTTTGGTCTTTTTAACTAAAAATGCGTTTTTATGCTTGCCCAAACCCGCGCTATTTTCGGGTCGGATCGGGTCGGGATAGCGGGTCGGGCCAATGTTGATAACCTCTAGTTTACTATTATTCCGTTTATGTTTTGGGAATTTTAATATTGGTTTGATTTTAAATAAGGACCATTTATGGTTTCAATTTGTAAGCTTTAACTAATTGGTTTTCTAAATATTATTTTAAGATTTAAGTTGGAGCACTACAAAAAAACCCAAATTTAGCAATTGAATATGGCAACCGTATTTTATTTCGTAGCTAAATGGAGACGAAGGAAAATTATTGGTTGCCGAGCTTATAAGGCTAAAATCTGCCTTTAATTATTGGTTGCTAAATTTCTTGGCAACGTATGTAAAAAAATTTTGGTCGCTAAGGCTATGTTTGGATAACAAAAAATAGAAGGAAAGGAAGGGAAGGGAAAGGGAGGGAGACAAAGTTCCTTGTTTGGATAATATGTTGGGGGAGGGAAGGGAAGGGGGAGGGAGGGATCCATTTTCCCTCCTCCTTTAATAAAGATCATCCCTTCAAAATTGGAGAGATTTGGAGGGAAAATGAAGCTCATCATTTCCTCCACTTTCCCCTCCTTCCCCTTCCTCCTATTTCCCTCCCTTCTAATTTCTTATCCAAACATAGCATAAGTTCTGGAAACACATTTCATAAAGCTATACAGCTGTAATACACAATCTAAGAAAAAGTTGAATATTAAAAAGTCATAACCCAAATTTGTCGCCAATTTTCATTTTGGAGGATTAAACGAAAATATTGGCGGGTCCCCAAAATTTCACCCAATTAACCTGAAAAATGTTGAATACTAAAAAGTTTATGCCCAAAAAATTTCACTCTCTCTGTCCTCCTTCAGTTTGTAAACTCTTGGCTTTCTAAGAATTTTGTTTTGCCAAAACCCAATTCAAGTATGTGAAAAACCATTGTTCTTGGGAATTGCCGCCACCCTCTGTTAACGTGGGTAGTTGTAACTGTCTTCAAAGGGTTGCTAAAGTATATACATAGTTGTCTGCCTAAATCCACCAACACAAAACCCTAGAATTGGTAAGTTTTATCTCCTCTTAGTTCTTGTCTATAATTTGACATGAAATTCTTCAATTTTCTAGGTTAATTTCAGTTTTGTAGCATAGTTAGCCCAAAATTCTACTATTATTAAGTGTTTTTATAAAATTATAGGCTATTGTGTTTATTTTTTTTTTTCTCTTAATGCAATAGGTAGCTAGGGAATTGGTAGATAGATATTATGATAGCTTGGATCAGCTTGATGTGAGCTCGAATTGTTAAATTAGTAATGTTTTTGGAATTCCTTCCCTGCATTCCAACTTCCTACAGAGGAAATGTTGGGTCTAAGTTTTTAGTACTAAATTTGGAAGGTTCTACTATGGGTTATCATGTTTTTGGGATTTCACCTTTAACATTACTTGGCATGTTTTAATTAATTAAATTCTCGTATCCCTTTTCATATACTATGTATTTTTTATTCCGAAGAGATTGCACTTTGTTTTATTTATTTATTTATATTATTATTATAGTATTATTGTTTAATTTTGTAAGTTAGAGTAATATCTTTGATTTGGCTACATTAAATCATCCCATTCTTCATTTATGAGAATTTAATAATCTAATGCATGTGTGGTATAGGTGACTGATGTAGGGGTGACACCGTGTTGTTGAAAGTGTGATAGTTGCTAGCTTTAGTCTGCTGGTGATGCATTGTAGACGCAAGGATTGTTGGTAACACTTTGGAATTTGCTTTTATTTTGGCCGTCATCTAAAAGGTACCGCTCTATATTATACTAACATTGTATGAAAGTGGTTGACAAAGAAAAATATTTCATGTTATGAGCATTTGATTGTCAATCTTTTTTCAATTAGAACAGAAAAACATATTTATATGCTCTTCTTACCACTACACTCTTAACAGCAGTTGGCATCACTATATTGTTAGACTATATATGCACTTGTATAACATTACTAGATTTGTTCATACTATTCCTATATATAAATGTAGGATCTTGCATTGCATTACTGAGGCCTTGTTATTTTGAGCTTCTGGGCAGAGTAAAGCATATTTCAGCAGAGCAGAGCAGATTTCAGCCGAGCCGAGCAGAGCAGTTATTATTATAATTATTATAATTATTATTATTATTATTATTATTATTATTATTATTATTATCATCATTATTATTATTATTATTATTACTACTACTACTATTATTATTATTAAATATTAATTATTATTACTATTATTATTATTTTTTTATTATTATTATTATTATTATTGTTATTGTTATTATTGTTATTATTATTATTATTATTATTATTATTATTATTACTACTACTACTACTAATATTATCGCATTATTATTATAATAATTAAATTTTTAAAGTTAAATATTAATTATTATTACATTAATTATAATTATTATTAAATATTATTTAATTATTATTATTACTAAAAATTAATAATTAGTATTATCTTTAAATATTAGTTATTATCTTAATATTAATTGCTATTATAAAAATCAATTATTGTTATTATAATTAATATTATTAGTTATAAGTATTATTATTACTATTAGTATAATTACAATTATTATTACTATTATTATTAAATATTAATTATTATTGTTATTATTATTATTATTATTGTTATTAATAATTATTAATAATTTAATATTTTTACTATTATTAAATATTAATAATTAATTTTTATTATTTTTTTTATTTTTTATTAAATATCAATAATTAATTATTGTTATTATTATTATTAAGTATTAATTATTATTATAATTAAATATTAATTATTTGTTGTTATTATTATTATAAAATATTAATTATTTATTATTATTAAATATTAATTATTATTATAATAATTTAATATTAAGTATTAATTTTAAGTAGAGTAGAGCAGAGCAGATTGAAGCAGAGTAGAGCAGATTTCAGTAAAGCAGAGTAGAGAAGAGCAGAGCAAAGCAGATTTCAGCAGAGCAGAGAAGAGCAGAGCAAAGCAGCTCTAAAGAAGGGGGCCTGAGTATATATGCTAAAGACATACTATTAAGTTAGTTTGAGTTACAACTTACCCTTTAAAGTTTACTAAAAAATTATAACTTGTTGCTAAATTATCGTATATTTATAAATGTGAAGTCCTCTTCTTATTTTTGCCACTTTTGACTTTGTTTTTCTCATAAAAAGATGTCAAGATGTAAGAACGAAAGGATCAAAGGGAGTACCAAGTAGTCATCGTATATAAGATCACATGTATAGTCATTTTAATGCTTAGCTTGGGTATAGAATTCTAGATATTGAGAAATTGTGTTTGTATGATATAATTTAGTTGCTTCCTTATTCTTTCACCACAAAAAATTATATCTGATGAATATTTTTGACAGGTTTTATGATTCTGAGGTTACTAATGCAATTGTTAATACATCCTATAAGATGTATTTTCGTGGACCATGGTGTAATTGGTCTATGGTTCCCCCAGAAGCCCGAGCTCTATGGTGGAATGCCTTTAAGGCAAGAATTTTTGCAATTTCTTTAATTTTACGTATTTATTTTTCACAAGTGTTATGACAAACACTTATGTCCATCCATTTTTTGTATAGAAAAAATTTTCATGGGATCCTTCGGTGGCTAAGGATGTGAAGAAAGGATGGGAGACGAAATGCAAGAGGCGATTGACAGGTGTTATATCAACAATGTGTACAAGGAAAAACTATTCTGCTACGTGGTGTGCTCCAAGCATTAAATTACATATAATGAAGCTTAGAGAAAAGGATGAGTTCAAAGAAAAGTCAAAGCAATGTTCCTTGAACAAAAAGAACCCTGAAAAAGAAATGCCACTTCACTGTAAGGGTTCCAAATCATCTGTCAAGCTAAGGATTGATCTGGTAATCTTCCTTTTTTATATTACAATGTATATATTTTCGATACAAATATGTTATGATTATGCATCTTTACTCTGCTTTTGGCACTTATAATAATTAGGAGCAGAAGCTAAAGCGTAAGGTAACTGTAGCCGAGGTCTACCGCGAAGCTCATGTGAACAAGAAACAAAAGTTTGTTGATAAGACCTCTGAAAATGTTTGGGTATGTCTTTAAAGTCTGCATCTTTTTTTTTTAGTGTTGATGCTGCTAGAATTCATACCTAATGCATTAAGAGGTAATATCGATTGTATCTCTGGTTAACAATAGTTATTATTTAAGCATTGTGGAACATGTTTATGAACTTCATTCTGTAATGCATTGATATGGTGTTATATAGGAGGAAATATTGTTGCTTGATACATCACACTTCATTTTTAATTATCCACAAACTAAGCTCTAATACATTTTTTTTATCATAAAATAGCGTAATCATCATTGTGATAATGTCTAAAGTGATTTGTTGTTGTTTTTTTAATGTGGATATTTTTAATTGTCTATTAGGCTAATTTTGAGAAGAAGAAAGCTGATAATTTAGAAGTTCCAGATTAACGACCAGAAGATGAGTTATTTTTGGAGTCTGTAGGTGGATGGAAGAATGGGAGGATATATGGTTTAGGTTCAGCAGCTAATGATTTCTATGAGAAACCTTGTAAAGATAGTAGTGTTAAGAAAGCGAGAATTAATCATGTTAATCATCTCGAGAGTCAAGTGGAGCAAGTTAATTCAGAGAATGCCCAACTGAAACAACAATTAGATGAAACAAAGGGTGTCCTCACTGCAACTACTGAAAAATTGGATCAAACAAATCAGATTGTGAAGACTCTACAACAACAAATGCAAATTCTTTTGAGTGGACATTTTGATGTGATTGGTACTGCTTCGTCAACTAATCTCCCGCCTACACCCCATGTTCCTTAACATTTTAAGAATAGCAATTTGATATATGAAGTACCAGGTCCTTGAAATTATTGATCAGTCTTTTGCCGTGAACTTTTTTTTATTTTTCAAGCAGTTTATTTAGTAATGTAACATAGCAGGTGGGCTCCCCTATATTCAAGGAGTATATATGACATAGTTTTGGGCACTTTTTGTAAATGGTACTCTAACGTTGACTTAGATTAGTTCTAAGTAGTAGGCCTGCTCTTTTTTTTGTGAGCAAAATATTGTTATCAAGGCTAATATCCCTTGTAATTTTAATACATTATTGCTACTAATTTACAATGTTTAACTAATGAGCTTATTTTAAAATCATATTGCGTTTTACCCCTTCATTTATATATATTTTGATGATTTATATGAACATGGGGACTAAAATATTATCAATAAGTTTATGTTCCCTAATAATTAATTTAAAATTTTGATTTATATATAATTTACATTTAGCCAGCAAATAAAAAAGATCAAAATTAGCAACGGGTGAGCTAAAGTTGGTTGCAATTTTAGCTACGAATACTAATATTTTGGTCTATATTCTCAACTATGTTAACTATGTTGATAACCATCAAGATAAAGTAGCAACAAAATATAATATTGGTTGCTAAGTTAGCTACGGAAATATTAATATTTGGTTGCCATATTAGCAACGAAATAAAATAAATTTTAGCTAAAATCGGCGACAAAATTACTTTTTCGACGTCAATTTGGCGACGTATTTTATTGGCTTTTGGTTGTCATTTTCAGATGGCTACTAGAGTTTTAACGACGAAGTGGGTTTGTTGCCAATTTGGTTGCTAAAAAATTTAGCAACCAAAATATCATATATAGAGACGGAATGGTTTGGTTGCTAAATTTGTTGTTTTTTGTAGTGGATTTTCCGCAGCGATACTTTTATAAAGACTATGTTTTAACACGTGGCGGTAACATGCCAATGGTTCTCCTCTTTTTTTTTTTTATGTTAATTAAGTGGTTTGGAAAAGAAAGAATTATTGGGGTGTTACAATTTTTGCCCTCATGGAACCAAACTGAGCTCAGATTTTGCAAAAAAATAACGTAAATTCCTCGTTTGGCGTATTAAGAAATGACACGCAAGTCGAAATATCTCTTTGATAGGAATGGTATCCTTCAAACAAGTGTATTATTCTGGTAGAGGGTTCGGAGCTATTGAAAAGCTACTTATTCAGTAAGTTCAAGTGATCGGAATGCCTAGGTGGAGGTCGCTTCCAATCAGTAATATTAATGCATAATTAATATTACAGCTTAATCTTGACTAAACCCTTCGGATCATATCCAAGCAACTAACGATTAGACACGATGAATTAATTCGGAAGGAATTAATGAGTCTCTCGAGTAATTAATATTTAGACGTCGAAAATCAAGCTAGGAGCTTCAAAAATCGAGTGTCGCAAGTCGAGTCGAATTAATTCGAGACGAGACAGTAAAATCACTAATTACTCAACAATTTACCGAAATACCCCTAGCATTAGAATGCCCGGAGCAAACCGAGGGCTAGTGGAATTTGGTATAGCCAAGGTGGCTAGCAATCGTACCAAGTCGAGCCTAGGCTGCTTGGTGCGTGCTAGCGTACCATGGCTAGCAAGGCTGCCAGCACATGGCTAGCAAGCCATGCTAGCATGTGTGTGGCAGCCCGCAACCACCCAGCAGCATTACGCGCATGGCGTGCTAGCATAACAGCCATGCCGTAGTAGCTAGCAGCAAGGCCAACACGCATGGCGCGCTAGCGCGCAGTAGCTAGCGGCAGCATGATATGGCTCGCATGGTGCTGCGCCAGCCACGCTAGTAGCAGCAAGCCGCACACCAATCGCTTGGCCTGCCACGTGGCATGTAATACCCCTCAAGATTGCTTTAAAAGGATTTGACACTTGTAGACACCCAAATATGTCTCTCCAAAACCAAACCCAGTGATGAATACGTTTCATGTCATTTGATTATCGAACGAAGTGAAAGTGTGAAAATTTTAGTGATGTAGATGTTTTATTAAAATATCTCTCTTTCTGTTTTCAAAAATATTTCTTCTTTTACTCTATTTATGAAAATAGCCAGTCCAATTTAGTTTGGTCCATGATAAGGGTCCAATAATAGTGTAGTTGGATTGGGCTCGATAAAAGCTTTCCAACGATATATTGTAAGGCCCAAGTCCAATGAATAATGAGGAAGTTATGGATTAAATTAGATTTGGCCCAAAATGATTTTACGGCCCAATGATCTAGAGGAGGGCCTATTAATTATTATTATTCCTAAAGTTATTAGGATTGATTTTAATCTACTAGAAATATCTAGAAGTGTTTTTTTTTAATTATAATAAGATTAGGATTGATAGTTATATTTTAAAGAGTTTTATTTTGAATAAAATATGTGATTTGTCACAGATATGATTTTGATATAGAAATCATGCTTAGATTATTTTGTTGATTCTTAGTATCATGTTAGGATGTTTTATTGCTTCCTAGTATCATGTTTAGGGTTAACTAATATTTCTAATATCAAGTTTGTTATTATGATGCTTCCTATTTCTTTCCTAATATCATGTTAGTATCATGTTAGGGCTAAAGCTTTGATTTTTATTGTTTAGTGACATGCTATGGTTTGGTATTAATCTTGTTAGTATCATGCCTAGGATCTTGCTATTATTATGCTTTATTTTTAACATGATTATGATTATTATGATGTTGCTTGATATTATATTATTATTGTTATTGCTTGATCACGCCTTTTATACATGTTAAAAGGGAATTTGTACTTGTAATCACGCTTAATAAGATAATTAATAATCTTGTTTAGGCTAATATGATTATATTCAAATGATCGACAATAATAGTTTTGTTTGTTCTTTAATATTCAACCAACATATATTAAACAGCTTTAGGGTTAACCTATTGATTGCATGTTAGTTAGAAAGCGCAAATGAATACGAGAAGAATAAAGTAGTGGCCTATTTTTAGGGCAAGTTCAATCCCTTTTAGATTGGATTTGTACCTTCATCCCCAAACTTCTAGTCATGGTTCCAGACCTATTGGAGTTAGCGATCTCCTAGATCATTAAGGGGTGTAACCTTTACCCTGTAAACGGTTTACAAGTTCTTAAAACTTGTTGGTGACTCTTTAACTCTAGCTTCCTTCCCTTTCGATGCCATCATGCTTAAGTGTATGAACACAGTGGGGCTCAAGTGTGGGATGCTTGAAATATTCCCTACAATACTCCATAGTTAAGAGTGCTTGGCTGGGGATAGTCTTGGGATGGGTGACCTCGTGGGATGGGTGACTACCTGGGACGGGGCGCGCATGAGTGAGGACAAAATGTGTCAAAAGGACTTGTGTTGGTCTTTGGGGACTGTTGTGGGCCCTTAATGTCGCAGAGGTCTAAATAAATTGATCAAACTTGACTTAGTATGACTTTTAGGATTATCCCTTTAGAGTAAAATACCGGAAATAGTCCTAGATCAATGTTCCATCAATGGCGCAGAGGTCTGGGCTGTAGCGCCACGCGCTAGTGATTAGCGCCCGACGACAATGTTTTCGTCCGGCGACAGTTTTGTCGTCTGGAGATAGTCCATACTTTTGCTCGAGTCTTTACGACGAGTCTAACTAATCAATTTGCCTAATCGATTTAATCAGTTTATTAATGACATTAGTCATGTTTAGTCCTTAATTATGTCTAGTCAGATAGTTTAGTCCCATGGTTATGACACGAGTTAAATTTGTCATCCGCACTCACTAGTCTTAGCACACGCTTTGAATTGATGAAGGCTATGGCCCTTCAAATCAATGACTCTCTAAAGCAACAAAAAATGGAGCTCATGCAAGAAATCTTGAGAAAACTATCCAATGACTATAGGTTCCAGGTCATTAGCTCACAAGGGGTCTTAGTGGACAAGGAACTTCTTTCGCAGAAGTTCAATTCCAATGAAATCCCTAAGTTCAAGCCAACAAACAATCCTAATTTCACTTAAGGGCTTTTGAAACTATAATGAGCATTAAGGGAATTGATAGGAATATTTCTCACTCTTTGTTCTCACTATCTCTAGAAACCGTTTGTCAACATTGGTTCTTTTCTCTTGATAAAGAGAAGACCTCTACTTGGGATGGAATAATAAACGCTTTCATTGATATATATAAGTGTAACATTCCAGTTGAAACAGACTATAGACAACTTGAGATGTTAAAGCAAAAGGAAAACGAAGGATTCACTTCTTTCCTTAACAAGCGGAGGGAAACTTCCGCTATTATGGTCCAGATACCTACTGAAAAGGAGTTTGTAAGGATGTTCATCAAGATTCTTCAAGACAAGTATTCGAAGCATTTGAAATATCAACACAACTTGAATACTTTCAAATCCGTCTATGACATAGGTATTGAAATCGAAGATGACCTTGCAAAGCAAAAAGCTACTAACAATAGCAACAACAGTGGTTGGAAAGGAAAGAAAAACGACAATCCTTCTTCTTCTGAAAACGCCCACTCTAGTAACAATGTTAGTACCTTTGATCTCAATGAAGTCTTAGCCATGGAAAATTAAGGGTCTAAAAAGCAACTAAGGAAAGATTTCACTCCTAGTAGGATGAGCTATTATATTTCCTTCGATCGACTCCATGCCAAGGGACTCATTACTCCCATTGGACCTATTCAAGATCCCGCACCTGAGAAGAGATTGCCTAGTTGGAACCCAGATGCACATTGCAAGTACCATCAAGGTAGGGGTCATACTATTGAGAGTTGTTGGAAGCTAAAAAAGGCCATCTAATGCTTGATCGATAATAACAAGCTTCCCATACCTCCAGTTAGCAAGAAGACCGAGTGATAATAAGAGCGCAAGACACGAGGCGAGCTTCAATGACAAGATTTCGGGACCTCTTTTTTCTATTTTCTTTTATTCTTTCTTTCCCCAATAAGTCTAGCATAGGCACCTTTCATTTTCCTTAGATTTACTTTGTAGATTTTTTTTCTTTTTCCCTTTTAATAAAATGAGCATTTCTTTTCTTGCATATGATCATTGCATTGTATCTAAAAAAAAAATGCATGTCGAACTATGCACAAGGTATACCAATGATTTGAGGCACCCCTTGTAGCCATATCATGTCACCTTTCACCCTTCAAATATACAATCATTTCTTGTCAAACCACTTTGAGCCTCGTCTAACGATAGACCTATATTTTTTCAACAAAATAGCAAAAAACAAAAAAATAATAAAAGTGTACAAAAGGGTGAGTGTTCCAATATCTTTGATATGAATATATCTTTGATAAGAACACGTCTCAGATTGTGTCTCTTATCCGTGCCTGAGAAACATTGATGCC